ATGGTAAGGAATTGATCCCTTAAGTCCTCCTTCTCTTTGTTTATAAATTCATTATCGAGGGACTGATCTCTTAACTCCTCCCCCTCCTTACATGTACACTCATTGGCAAGGGTTTAGTCCCCTAACTCCTCCACAACATCATTCAATATGTACTCTACATCCTTCTTCCATTGCACCTCATCAAAGGTTGGTTAGTGTCATGCACCTTTTGACTTTCTTTCTCATCATCCTCTTCTTCCTTGCACCTCTCCATATATGCTTTATCTATGAAACTCTATACACGATTAGTTAAACATCTCTTTTTTTTTTTTACAAACTTTATTTAATTATTCTCCAACATTATTTGACCATTTTTAACTTCGATACTAATGTTAGAATGTGGTTTTTTCATCACTTAGGATGAAATGAATTAACTTGCAGTAACCTATACTTCTACTACCTCCCCAACTCTCTTTTTAAAAATAGGGGTGCTTAATTTCTTCTTTATAATATGATAAATTAAGAGAGGGTATGCATAATTTACTTATAGCAGCTTTCCTCATCAACTCTATACAGCATTTAAGACAAAATGCTCCCTACAAAAAGTAAGAAAGAAAGTGCCAATGAGCAATTTTTACATTCCTAACCCTAAAATATAAGTTATGGTATGAAAAATAAATACTTTTTTTATTCATGAGGCATGACAAAAATATTTTTCTTATAAGTATCTTGTTGCTCTTCCAACTTAGCATCCTAGGTAATCACCCCTTAATAAACTCATCATATCTTGCCCAACTATAGAATAGTTTCATAAACTAGTTATATTGTATCTCTAATTATACTGTATTGAGCAAAGGTCATTTTTTTGCTGCATACCCCTCATAATGTGCCATGTCTCTCCTAAGCCTTCATCATGTCCTCTCATATGACAATATACCCTATGGGTATCTGAAAAAAACATCATCATCTTCAACGATGAGAATTATTTTAGTGAAGATAACGTTGTGCATGCTATGGTTGAAGAGGAAGCCATCTACAAATAAGTGCAAATCAAACTTCATAATTCATTTTTGTTAGAGCATTTCATGAAAGCTTTTAGTAGAATGGTGTTATTAAAATTTTTATCCCCATTGAATTGGCTCTAGACCTTCTTATTGCTTCTTTTTATCTTATTAAATTCCTCATTAGTTGGGGACTTCTCAAAATTCTACCCAATAATGAAAGCAAACTTTACGATAAGGAAGATCATGTTCTTCCTACATTGAACATGATGCAATACTCACCAATCTCATAATCATCAACCATCATTAATGTTAATTGATGAATTAGGATACCATATAAATATATTCTAGAAGAATTGAAGAAGTTTCCAAAATGGAGTTCCCTTAATTTATGACCCAACACGACACAGTCCTTACGTCAAACAAGTTACATCATGTTTGATGTGTAATTGACAATACCCAATATCTTATTTGAAACAAATTCTTCTATATATATATATATATATATATATATATATTATATATAATATATATATATATATACACACACACACACACTCACACACACACACATACACACAACAAAGAGCCACCAACAACTTTAAAAATACTAAAAACAAAATCGTCATTTTCTCTTTACTTCAAATAAAAGGATCATATAACCAAGAATACTTCAATCATGGTCCCAATAACTATCATCATCAATACAATTTTTCTTTGCTGAAAAAATAACCAATAAAAGAATATCTATAATCCTTGTCATTTACTTCTATCTACTCAACATTTTCCTTTCCATTTTTCTTTCCTAAAATGAATATATGATAAATAAGAATGAGTAATGTTTTCTCAGTAGGCTATATAACACCCAATATAACCACATATAGAAAATAAAAATGTGATCTCATCATTACAACAAAGACAAAAAATTAGGTTATAATGTTAAAATAAAGCAAGTGATAATTTTAGAAATTGTATTGTAAACTTCACAACAATGATACCAGATGTAATAGTTCAATATATCATTTGTTGTAACGTGTTGCATTGAGTGTTAACATAAATTTAGTATAAAGACAAGTCACTGATTATAATAATAATATAATTGAAATATAATATTGTATTGTAACACATAACATTAGCCTTCACATGTACATCATTATATCATATCACATTGCATCAATCCCTTCATGCCTTATACGTCCCAAATATTTTAAATGTAGAATATCAAGCTCTTATGCCTCCCATGCAATTCATATTTATAGTATCATACCCTTATAAATTCTTATGAATAGCAAAATTCATTTATTCAGTTGATTAAACCTTTATATCTTCCCAGTAATCATTTACACATTTCTAGTTACATTAACATAAAAATAATGGTACTTTTAACATATATAAACATCAATACTTTCAATATATATAAATAATATCTATCATATCATAAGAGTTGTGCAATGTCTTACCTAAAATTTTATCTCCTTCCCTTTTTCCACACATTTCTAGGTATGTGAACATAAAAATATCAATATTTTCAACATGCATGAGTAGTATCTAACATAATACATGAATATGCAAATTTTCACATGTACTTTGAACACAGAATTGTTTTTGGAAGAAGTATTTGTGAACACATTCAATATTTACAAATCATAAAATAATTCATGAACACTATTTACAATATTATTTTGAAGCATTTATTATTCTATAGTCACTTTTATCATTGTTACAATACTCACCAAACGACTTAAAATTTCATACAATAAAAATATTATATAGAAATATGAGTTTCTCATGTTAACATGACCACAATATTATATTATATAATATACTAAAAGTTACACTATGAAAAGTTTCTCAAATTTTATTTAATCAAATAAATGATCACAACTCTCACAAAAATGACCTAAATTAAGACTAATCTTGAGATGAACAACTTTTCCAATTAGCCTATTGGGCAAAATTGACTCTAAGACAGCCAAAATCAACTTTCTCTCCTAGAATATCTCTGGTCTCTCTAATCGAATTCCTTCCAAGAAAAAAAATGAATTTGGGTACTTATAGGCTTAGGCCTCAACACTAACTTCCCTAGCGCCACAACGCTCTTAAGAAAAATTTCTGGATAATAATACAAAGAACTCAACACCGTAGCACCATCCTTTCACATCACCACAACACCATTCCAATCATAAAGAGAGGGCAACGTCACATCACCATCATCATAGCACCACAATGCTCCCAAGAAGAATTTTCCAACTTGACATTTTTTTTGAATTCAAACTATATTTCTATTTCATAATTAAGTTAAACATAAAAATGAATTTAAATGCTTATAAAGGCTCAATAAATACTAAATAAATTTGAAAATCTTATCATATGTAATTCAGGTCATTTCTGTAGAAGCATTCATTACAATTATCCTTAGCAGTAAGATCATTAGTCTTAAATTTCCTAACTACTTTCTTCATAACCCACTGACTATGTATGTTACTCAAGTAGTGTAATGTCATCTCGTGAGAGTATATTATACATTTGCATACATAATACAACAACTCAAATAAGTAAATCTTAAAAGAAATGACGTGACTTAAAAAACTATCATCAAACCGAGTTTGATAATTATTAAATAATATTGGATCATAATCAAATCTTCAACAATGATCAAAACATCATGATTGATTAAAATGATCGAACTATTTGAAGACCAATCATAATATCATCGATTCATGATTTAGCAAATTCAAACCAACTTCAATGCATTATAACATTATGTAAACATATTTGAACCTTATTCAAATAATTTATTTAATTTTTTTGATACCTTTTTCAAGATAATTTGACATGATTGATGAAGGGACAAAGATAGTTTTGAGTAAGTGCTCAAACCAAATTGGAATAAGCTCGAATAAGATTATAACGTGTTAAAGTTAGTTTGAATAATGCTAACTCATAGGTTTCAGATGTACAAAGGCTAATCAACTAGGTTAATCATTTATAAAAATAACTGAATAATGTTTGAATAACTATTCATTTACAATTCAGATATTGTTAAGATTGTTCGATCAAGATTTAGCCAACATTCTAATGGCAAATAGGAATTGAAAATATCTCTAACATAATAACTACATGTAAACCAAAGTTAACATGCAATAGTTTTAAGGTTTAGAGAGTGATGCTTAATTTTAATCCTAAAAGACAAATAAAAAAATCACCAATCTTCAAATACAATGAGTAGAGAGAGACCATCATCGTAAATTTTTGCCAAAAGTCAAAGATGTAAGCCTTCTAATCACCGAAAGTAAAAAAAGTGATGGTAAGAATGGTCAAAGAACTCTTACACAATGAAATTATTGTGTAAATAATTGAAGATGTCTATAAGGGGTATATTGATTCCAAGTGAACTTTCGGATATATTTCTCTAAAATAATGAAATAGCGATTATACTTCTTCAACTTCATGAATTATGGAGCATCTTAAATCTCATTTGTTTTGCAAATGAAGATTTCTTTTTTCTACATGAATTTAAATAAGCAATATACTGTAAATATTAGTGTTAATTGTCGCCACTAAAGACAAAAGTAGAGAAAAAAAAATGTAAGAATATTTTAATTAAAATTTGGTCAAAATGAATTTAGAACTCTTAAATTAACTTTGAGATAAAAATATTATTTAATTGCTAGTTTTTTAACGTGTTATAAAACTAAAAAGTTCAAAACTCACCAAATTTCAATCAGACATCCTCAGCCATTTTTTTCTCCTTTAAAATGGTTAAAAAAACATGTTAACGACAACTGAGAAAATTATATCGAATATACTCTAAGATTAATGTTATATGTTAACCTGATATAATATTTTTTCAGAGCGAGTTGTTATTCCATTGATTTTAAGCTCTTATGACGCAATTATTGTGCGGATTAAAGCAAATATCCATATAAACCGAACTGATTGTTTTTGGACCACCCAAGAAAATATATTTTCCTCCTTTTTCCTGTGGAGAAAATTACACCAAAAGCTAGTAGAGACAGATTAAATTTTAACCAAAAAGATCAAAAGTTTACTTAGAAACATTGATATTATACATCAAAAAAATTCCAAAAAAATTATAAACAAGACAAGGAAAAAGATGGAGAAAGAACAAATGGGAAATTAGTTTAGGAGTCCGCCAGCTCCTACTCGACCCAGTTTATGTCTAAATTTTTAAGTTTCGTGAGCCATTTCTGTGTATCCTGCGAAATAATTGGCTTATGTGATGTCGTTCTTTGGTCCACGATCTCCTTAGAAGCTTTAGAATCCAGTTGGTTATCTCCATCACGATCCACCTTTCTTCTAGGGTGCCTAACCTCAAGAGACAAAAGGCGTGAGACTTCTTGCAAACCGCCCCATTTCTCCAGTGCTCGGGCAATGTCATAACGACCTATCAAAAGGAAGAAATCATATTTGAAAAAAAAAAAAAAGGTAAACAAAATCATTTACATCAATCGTCGAAGTTTTATTCATGAACAATACATATCTTTTCATGAATATTAAATAAAAAATTATATTGCATTCAAATAAATCGGCTTTTAAGATCATTCTGATCAAAATTTATTCAGTATATCCTCACCTAATTTTTTTCCAACCATGGGCAACATCCCAAACAATTTTAAAACTGTATTATCGTCATATCAATTTAAGAAAAGCATTAAAAAAAATTTCTCACCTGCACGCTCAAAAGATTTTCTACTGGGCATGTAGGTAGGATCCATTCCCCAATTTCGCTGGAATCGACATATCTGATGAGGAGAAACAAAGAGTTGAACAACGAAGAAAAAGCAAATGACTAGCACTAGATGAATTAAAAGTTATACACCAACTTTGAATCCTAGACTAACAAGACTACCACAAATTTGTTGTAGATAAGATTCGAACTCAGGATATGACAATTTACAAGATATTTATGAACAAAGCTAGATTAATGATAGAAGATGGAATAACACTTAATAACATACGAATAGACCGACTCCTTTTGAATAAAATAAGTTCAGCTTGCAGCACCACAGAGAAAGTTCTAAGTTACCTCTTCTTGCAGATTTTCAAGGCTATCCCAGTAGCCTTTAGGTTTCCTTTGTTTATACGCTAGGGAAAGGTTCATCAAACTCGCAATCTTCCTAAATCCACCCAACCGAGTGACTGCTTTCTCTATATCCACCCTTCCATGCAAGCGAAGCTGTTTCCTCATGGGCATGAAACCTTCTTGACCATATCTTGATATAAATCTAACAATTTCAGCTTTAAGGATATTTAAATCCTTCTGCAAGCCTGGAACCTTAGGCCTGTGCTTCAATACATTAGAAGAACTAACTCTAGAAATATTCTCTTTTAGCAAATTTTCAGTCATATACACATCGTCCTCAGCTGGGGACACTGCCTTATTTGGAGTATCGCTCATAACAGTTACTCTAGTTTCAACAAAATCACGTATAGCACATAAGTTTGATGGAAGATCTTCATAAACTACCTGAAATTAAAAACAAAAACAATTTGTAAAATCTTAAAGATGATGAGCAGAATCTGATCTTCATTTCAATAAACACACCTTGAAATGGAATCAGAAAAATTATTAAACATGGTACGCTTCTTAATAGTCAGTGGTTTAGCCAACAAACCAAATAGCCATCTGAGTATCAAACGAGTGCCATTTTGTGTAGGCGAAATATCTAAATATTCTGAAGAATTTTCTACAGATGGTATTGAAAACCACACCAAAGGCTCTTAAACTACTTCAAAGTTTTCAAGCGTTTCCTTCTCTTTTTTTGTACAAGGACCTTGTACTGTAGAAGGAGATACAGAAAATTTGTAGTTTTTGCCAAAATAAATCTTGAATTGTACTCACCTAATTTGACCCTGAGGGAGCGAGAAGAAAATCCATCCCACTGTCAACTGTTGGAGTAATGATTCCATCAGGTTACCGAATGCATTCGGAAACCAGTAACAAAACGCCACGTCACTAAAGTGCTCGGTATTGTGCTTGGTAGAGGCGCTCGGTACACTCGGTATGCTCGGTATTTTTACCGGACGCAATAAAAATTCCAACTGTTGGGCCTCCTCCTTATCGACCTCTTTGCTCAAAGAAGTCGTTGTGGTACCAGAAGCTCTTTGTTGGGACGGGCTAGCTCGCCCTTACTGAAATGTCATCTTCTTAGCTGACTGGCTACGAGAGCGACATGTTGCGAGAAAGCCTATTTCTCAAAACACTCGCCAATTCTCTTATCATAATGAGCAGAAAAAATAAACTATCTCAAGTGCAATCCCACGATTTATAGAGAAGTCTAGTATGTCGTGGCGTCACATCAACGACATCATTGTGAGGTCAACATGGTCCTCAAGATTCTCTATTTGTACATTATGTTGTCTCCTTTAATTTCATTAGATTTGTATTTATTTTTCTATTTGTACATTATGTTGTCTCCTTTAATTTCATTAGCTCTCCCTTTTCACCACTAGCCTGCCAAAAGGCCGAGTGAATCTAGGAACTAAATTTATACCCATAATCATCTTTTCAGGTGTTTTGACAGGTAACGACCAAGTCATGATGAGAGTATTCTCTCTCAAGGCCAAATCCCTCGAAGGACTTACTCAAGACCAATAGAAAGACTCGCCCAAGAAGAACGACGGGTGTCACTTACCCATAACTACCAAGGAGCTCACCCTACATCGAGAGACCAGGAAGTTCCTCACCAAGCAAACAGAACGCCACTCATCTCAACAGGTCCTACGAGCTCACCAAACTTTGCTACATCAAAGTGCCTATCCAGGGACTTTACACTCCATTCGTCTACCACCATCAGGATAAAAGACTCTTCATCCCCATAACTACCAAGGAGCTCACCCTACATTGAGAGACCAGGAAGTTCCTCACCAAGCAAACAGAACGCAACTCATCTCAATAGGTCCTATGAGCTCACCAAACTCTGCTACATCAAAGTGCCTATCCAGGGACTTTACACTCCATTCGGCTACCACCATCAGGATCAGAGATTCTTCATCCCCTTAAACACCTCTACTCACATTTCATAATAAGGAAACCTTAAGCTCCCTATGCCAGTCGCCGACCTAATTAGTTAATTCGTCAGCTTTGAATTCATCTCCTCTCAAGGCTCACCCACATATTCATCCTACACCTACTCGCTTCTCTTAAGATCACCCAAAGACAAACAACTCGCCAAATTGTTGACTTCGCCATCTTGCAGCCTATTAGGAAATGACACATGTCATAAATTAGTGCGTAACATTGCACAGGTATTCTGTATAGCCTGTATTTTTACTTTTCTCTGCATAGCCTCTCTTGTAGCACTCAAAATCCTAAAAATAAATGGTGACGAGGAACAATTTGGGATATTTCTTTTAGATCTTTTTTTCTTTATACTTTCTTTGGATCATTGGGCCCCCATGAGTCCCATCTTTTGAACTTTCTAATTGAGATAGTAGAGATCCAACTTACTTACTCTCCTCTCTACTCTCTACTCTCTTTTGTCTCCATTCTCACCAACATGTTCTAAGCTCATCACGCAGAACTGCTAGTAAAATCAGGTATCATCCATCGAATAAACTTAGATTCAAAGATAAAACTTTCATAATGCATACTTGAAGCTAAACCTCTTTAAAGCAGTAGAAAAACAAAATAGCCCTAAAAAGTCACAGATATAGTAGGAATTGTTATAATTGTTTCTTATAATATATTGATCACTAATTCAAAACAAGCTTAATTGGATTAGCAGACACAAAGTAGCTCATGTTTCCTGGTTGCTTTTCCAATTTTCATATCACATACATAGTAGGAATTATGGTAGCGGTTTTTTACAAAAAGATTGATCACTAACTCTAAACAGGCTCAAGTGTATTAGGAGACACAAAGAAGCTCATGTTTCTTGGTTGCCTTCCCAATTTCCATATCACGGAAAGCGCCATTTCTTTTCATCTTGTGTCTTTGACAACCCTAGTTGGGGAGCAGCCGACACAATATTTGTGTGGCAGTTTATGTTGACAGGTTTTATGTTAACTACAGCAAGCATGTGCAGCTCAAAGGGTTTGAAGCCAGTTTTCCTGCACTAGTTCGAAGGCATCGTCGGGTTATTATAATATTAGTAAATAAAAACATTTTATTAAGTGAACTTTTTCATCTATTCCCTTGTAGAAAACATTCATCAAGTCAACCTTCAATTTTCAGAGGACTTAAAATGCGATTGAGCACATGCTTTTCTATCTTATTCATATTAGTACGCACACAGTTAACCCACGTATTAACTGGTTGCGATATAAGTACAATGAACAATTACCGCTTCCACAATTGCCTCTGACAGAAAAGTATCATTGTACATTGTTGACTCTACACTGTATTTGAGCAAAGTGTGCTGATCCCCAAGTTGTTCCAATATCCATTTTCCTTGGAATAAATCAAAATCTCCTTCAACCTGCTCAAACTTGATCTCCTCCTCATGCTTTTCATGCAAATCCAAAACAACGCGTGCATGGAGGACCATATAGAGTAGACCTTTGCAACCTTCCTGGAAAAGAACACATACAAAATTAATTCGATTGTTAAATACCTGATGTAAAATTGGGAAAAAAGAAATAAAATATGCCACTGTTTTAAGAAGAATCTATGAAGCAACAAAAGCCACAATTCTAATAAGAATGATCCCCAGTTCTTTCCTAAAACAAAAGAGAACAGACAATTTCTTACATAACATTAAAATATTGCCTCTTTACAAACTAGCATTTAACTATCTCAATTTACAAAAATATCACTCAAATCAAATCTTAAACATTAAAATAAAACTCAACACATATTTTTGCATTCACTCAAATCCCAACAGTTAGATCATAATATGCATAAATATATGAATTTGATAATTCATTTTTAAAACTTGAGTTCGACTTTTGCAAACAAGAATTTCGGTGGCATGTGCATAAATCTCCCAAGAAAGAAATTATCGCATCATGATGGATAGCTTAAGATTAGGGGCTCTCTATGCAACAAAAATGATGCAGTGTACATAGAACACATCAAGGAACTTAGGACTCACATGCAAAAACTTGTTATTTCTAGATGCAGATCAATAATATAAAAATTAAAATGCAAATGCAATGCAATGATCAAATAAATTTGAAGAAATCAATGAGAAGTTTAAGACATGCTAAATCAATGAGTAATTGCAATTTATCCACCACAAATAAACACCAATTACATTAACTTTGAACAAAATCACGAAAACTAATAATTCAATAATAAGATATATACAAGATATTGAAGGCTCCAACACAATCAAATGAAGGATGAATTGGAATATAAAAAATTTCATGATAAAATAATAGAAAATGATGTATAAATCAAAATAAAATTTTTATTTGGTTCCACCCAACTAGGACGATATCCACAACCACGTATCAACATACCTGGGATTCCATTAGCACAATCACTCATTCACCCTCAAACTGAGGGAGGAATCACTTCACCACTTCTTACTTCTCAGGATAATAGTATCCTCTTCTTGATTATTGATAATGTCATCCCTCTAAACCTCAACCGAAAGACTTAGCAAAAAATAGATGAAAACAAAAATTATCACTTCTAAAACATTGAAGCACGATTTTTACTTTAAAATTTGAAACTGAAGTTCTTCATTTGATTTGAACGAAGACAATATTATAATGAAGAATTTTCTTGTAATCTCTACTCTCTTTAGGTTTAAAATCATAAGAAATATATTTCAGAGCTCCTTAAATATCAGGCATCATAATGTAGCTAAAATTAGATTTTTGAAGTTGGAAATCATTAATGAAGAATAGCTCAGCAATATAATCATTATCGTACTGAATTAGCATAGCTGAAACTTGCTAAACACTTAACACTGAGTTGTTAAGTTGGCGATGTCCCACTAAGAGTTAGCGCTGCATTGCTAACCTACTTCAAGAAATTTCTCTATGCTAGAGGCCGCTTTATGAGAGTCCACAAAACTATTAAGGCAGTCTACTAACTTTGTGGTGACCTGTTAATAGATTAATGGTGATTCACAAAGCTTAAAAATAGAATTTATTAATGTTGAAAATTTGCGGAGTAAACCATTTTGCAAAATAGATTATTGAATGTGTCCTAAACATGACAGAGTACTTTAAAATTATATGTAATTATTTAAAAATATATAATTTTTTTATTTTCAAAATTATTAGGCTAAGGTTTAGATTTTAAAGCTTGAGCATGAGTGGTTGGTTGAGGTTCAATGTCAGCTACATATGAAAATAGAAAAATAGCCTAATTCTATAACTCATCTCATATGTACATAATCGCCTGTTAGCTTTATTACTGAAGAATGCCTCTGACTACTTTTTGATGAAAGCGTTTCTCTAGAGGCCACGGAATAAACTCTCTCTAAGAAGCAACTTAGTATAAGAAGAGTACTCAAATCTTTTTTCCTCCTACACCCATACTTGTCAAAGACAAATGGTGCACCATGGCGCAAAGTTCCCTATGGAGCCATGACACATAGCGCATGATGCGGCGCGCGGCATTTTAAACATGGTGCACAATATAAAATAATTAAAATATATAAATTTATTATTATAAAAAATATTAAATAGCAAACAATAAGTTGATTATAGCAAAAAAGCACAAATATCTTGTTAAATAGTAAAAAAGACATTTTTAAATCCTACAAAAACTTACACAATAGATTTGAGTAGGATTTAAACATAATTTAGCCTAAAGCCCGCCAAATAGCAAAAATGATAGCGTTAAATCCTAACAAAAAGTTAAATCCTTTAATTTTTTTATATCTTATTAATTTGATGTTTAATTAATTAATAATTAATTGTGATATCAATATATAAACCTAAAAAAGTTGAATTATAATATATAATTTAAAATTTATAACATGGTAACCAAATAACGCACACCATTTGTGCCTTGTGCCATTGCCCATGCATGGCGCAAATAGCGCGTGCTATTTTGATCAGTCGCACAGCGCCAAGAAAATGCACTGTATGTGTGCCGCGCTGCTTGGTGCTCCATTTTGCACCATTGACATGTCTGCCAACAACATCCTTTATATAGATAAGGTACATTATTACAATTATAATGGTAAGGTGGCAAATTTGGCACCTTAATTGATATAGAATTATAGATAATCATGACGCTCTTTTGTGAAAGTATGAAGAGGTAATGCTAAAATCATGGGCAGTTGGTGCTATGTTGTCATCATTACTACACAATTAATAATCTTTTTGGCTTTAAAATTGCTCCTCTCTAAAGTTTTTCAAAGATGCTCCTCTTGAAACTTGGCTCTGAGTTTTGGGGCATGATCCCAAGACCCTTCCTAAGTTTCCACTTGGGCTTGACTCCTATCAACATCAATGCTCTTGGCTTGGTGTCCTTGGCAACATCTAAATTTCTCTCAAGAGCTCTCTTCCAAAATTATCTCAGCTTGCCCCATGCGATGAGTGACTCAAGTCTACTAACATCCAAATCAAGAGTCCGCATAACTTTTTTTTTAGATGCTTATGATAAATTCTTAACTTCTGTACCAATATAAATTAGTTGTTGCAAGTGTTCAAATTGCATTGCACACACATGTGAGTAGTGAGTGATGAGAAGAATAGGTTCTATAACCAATACAAAGCACATTCATGATTGGCATCACGATATTATGAGCTTCAACATTTTCTGTGATAGTAACACTAACACCTTTGATATTTTCAATGCGGTTCATACAGCAATATGTGCAAATTAATTATTGCAACTATTTTTTTGATTTCACACAAATTTCTTAGAGATAGCAGTTGGTCATCATAAGAAAATGAAACTGAACCTATACTAATCTTTTATCTTAAGAAACCAAAATAAATAAATAAATAAAAGCAACGGCCATCATGTCACAGGATTAGGGGGCGTCAATTCACATGAAAAATATTCCACTATCTTTTGGCTACCAGAATATCAATTGAAGATCCAACATGGGAAAAGGGGATAACCCGTATCACAAAATAATAAGGTTGAACATGCAAGGTATAAAGGGGAGTTTGGCATGCTTCTCATAAACGAGGCTCCAAGAATGGAGTCATATATATTGATAAGATCATAGATCGGCCATAATAGAGGCTACACAAAAGGCACGTCATCATTATTGTAACATATCAAATTTCAATAAAATTTGATTTACCTGAAGAATGCGAACTTTGCTATTATCGCGGAGCAGAATCTTACTGATAGCTAAATTTGGAACAATCCTGAAGGATATAGTAATGCATTATAAGTACATACTGCTTTGCATGCATATAATGAAATTATAATAATCCTGAAGGCCTTAACCTTTGCAAGCATTGTAAATAAACATATATGTGGCATAGGTTTTAAGTCTGTAGCATCTATAATCACTTAAATCTTTCAAGGATGTTCCTTTACTGTGTATAAATTGAATGGAACAAGAAATTCAACAATAATTTTTGTTTTCATGAGAAATTAGAAGAAAGTTTACATTCTAAGCTACCTCCACCTAGAGAATACTTTTGACATTTTAACTAAAACAAAAGGAAATCAGTCAAAAAGAGAAGAAGAGATCTCCATGGGGTTCTTTAGTTGGGGTGGCTATCACAATTGACGGTTGATAATCAAATATTACAAAAGAAAACTAGCAATTTGGAAAAGAACATAGCGTTGCATACTCTGGTAGTGTCTCATAGGCAGTTAAAACGTTCCAAACTTCATGAACTGGTGCCTTGACAGTAATGCTAGCAACCACACAACGATGAGAACCACCATTTTCCTTCAGCATAAGTAGCTAATCAGATAAATTCAAAAAACCAAGCTTTTCCTGCTGAAATTTATTTCATCAGTTGAGAATGCATATTACAAACCTTACCAATAGGCCATCAAATCTACGCAGATGGACTTCATCTGCCATGCATGACCTACTATCTAATCTACAGACTTTTCCAAACACACCACATTTGCTGTTGAAATCATTATTCCTTGAAGAACGAACAGAAACAAAGGCATGGCCCGCATAAGTTTCCTTCAGCATTTCCGAAGGCATGATATCAGTCTCCCATAGATCACCAGAAAAATTCATGGTTCGTGAAGGAATGGTAGGTGGGAGGCTTGAACTTACACCATTTTCTTGCAAAGGAGAAATTTGGCCATCCTCAATACATTTTTCAGCCCTGCAGGCCACGGACCGAAGGTTAACTGGAAGATCAGACCTGATAATTCTCTCAAGAAATATGGCCGGTAAGTTAAATCTTGGGATCACACTAACTTCATATGTCAAAATTGTTGTTGATGACCTGTGAGTAAAATGATACCAATATAAGCTTTGGCACATGATAGGAACAAAAGGGAAAATTTATTATTGTAGTAAAACTTTGTAAAATAGTTAATAATTAGTGAAAAATATAGCTCATAATGTAGTGGCTCAATGTAAAACCAGCCAGGTTAAAAGATGCTAATAAAATCTAAACTAAAATTTAAAACTATAATGCAGCTGCCATGCATGTCAACTCATTAAGTTTTAAAAAAATAGAGCACCTTAAATTCAAATTTATGTTAAAGCCCGGAAGTGGTCACCAAGAAAAGAAATGAGAGAAAAAAAAAAGACCGAGAATAAAGATTAAGGTGTCAGCTCAAACAATTTGTAATCATGTATTATTTGATTTTTACTTCAACGCAACTTCGAGAGTTTTCTCCCTAGCCAAGGTAACACCATGTAAAAAGGGCCTTCCATGGAAATTGGAAGACTGATTCACATAAATATCAATTAATGATCAATTATGAATTTCAAACATACATTCAAGCCCGCCCATCTTTCTATTTAGTAGACATCTGCAAAGAGGTTACTATGGGAGCTGCAAAAATGACTTTATAATCTTTAATGAATAAGACAGAAAATTGCACAGAATCTACTAAATATTACATCTGGTCTAAATAAGCTGATTGGAATTTTCACCCAGTTCAAATTTCATAAAGGAGAATGTTGTGTAGAAATAGTAGTTATCTATTAACTAGGAGGAAAGTTAATCTCAGCACTGTTTACAAAGCAAATACTTAAAATCAATAAATCTTGAACAGCAGGTACCTCCTGACTCCTACCTTGGGCCAGTTTTGATAGACCATTTCCCTTCAAATTTCATAAAATCTCCGTCAACCATAGTGAATTGTAGCTCCCTTCCATTATCCTGAGGGCAGGATTTCACTTAAGATTGAATACCTACTTTTATAAATACAATAACAAGGCTAAAAGTAAGAAAATACAACAGAAAAAGATTAGGTCAGCTGTATCAGGAATAAAACTAGCCGAAAACCTTTTTTTTTTAAACAATGTCTGCTAATATGTATGCATCCTTACCCGTCTACCAACAACAATAAACCAATATAACATATTAAACATTAAACAGTCACTTTGATATACAAGCCTACAATGTTCATGTTAGCTACAGCTTCTCCATGCAAAACAGTAAGGGGCTGTTTGGTAGCAGGATTTAAGCCGGATTTGAGGCCGATTTGAGCGAAATCCAGCCAAACGGCCTAAAATGCAAAACCAAATCTCACGGCAAGTGAAATCCGGGATAGACGGAAAATTCCGCCGATTCGAGCGAAATCCGGGATTTCGGAAATCCTGTATTTTGCGGGATTTACGAAATCCAGGCGCGAGTAAGAGTCCCTTGGATAAATCCTGCTTTATAGCCAAACAGTCACACAGGATTTAATTGGATTTATCATAAATGTTACCAAACAGTTTTCAGGATTTAACCCCTCAGGATTTCGTAAATCCGGGATTTGTAGGATTTACGAAATCCTACTTAAATGAAATCCTACATTCAACCAAACAGCCCCTAAAAATGAAGTAAGAAAAATAGCTCGGATTATTGCAGGATAAAAGGCTCAAAGAAGAATCTACTAATTAATAACCAGAGATGCAGTTTTGTGTCAACAAATTAAGTGATTTATTTATTTATTTTTCCCCAGAAAATATTTGAAATTGGCTTACCTTTCTTTTTCAACCATACATCACAAAAGAAAAATATAATGTCAAGAATGTATTTTACAATACGGGAACATACCAATTTAGTGAACTCCTGAAGATCCAAGACCACTCTAGCCTCAATGTGCCAGTACAAAGCCCTTTGCAGGCCTCTCTGCTCCAGCCATATTCTGCCTGGATGCGGGCAGGGAATTCTTCCACTACACGCGAAGGGGACAAAATAAAAACCAAATGTTAACGCTTCTAAACTGGCCCCGTAAAAAACATGTAGCCCTACCTATAGATGAGATTTGGGATGAAATCGGCAAGCCGCTCATAATCAGTGAGCACCGTCCACACCGTGTCCACATCGGCATGGACGAGAACTTTAGCCCTAATCCGACGTTCTCTCCATGAGACTACATCCACCTCGTAGTGGACCGGGCGCTCCTCTTCCTCGTCCTTGTCGTGCTCCGTCCTCTTCGCGTGGGACTGAAGCCTCCATTGCAGCTGCTGATTGGATTGAGGGGATCCTCCGCTGACGGAGGCGGAAAAGAGCACCCTAGGGCAGGTGGAGAGAGTCCATGAAGGTGACGGTAAGATCCCCGGAGCTTTTTGTGGGCGGAGGTGAGGAGAGAGGAGGCGGCAGGATGGATTTGGAGAGCCACAGGCTCTCATAGGAAGGAGTAAGAATGGAGAGCGAGAGTCATTTGGAAAAGGGTATAAAAATTAACTCCGCTATTCTTCCTAAATTTTTTTTTTGGGAAATTTTGGGGCATAAGCCCTTATATTAAATCAAAAGAGATTACAAGTGTAATGGGAATAAAAGCAAGTAAACCTTGCATAAGCAAAAACACAAAAACTTATGCAAAGTCCGAAAAAACCTCAACTATACCACCCAATTACAATTAGAGATAAATTAAGGAAGACAAAAAAGAGGCAGCAGGTCCAAAAGAAGTCCAGGATATCAAAAATCACAAGCCAGTAACATTGAGGAGCCATCATCAAACGAGCAACCAAAATAGTAGGAGCCATCCAGCCAAAATTCACTGCACCAGAAAGAAGAGAGCAGCAGAAACAGAGCAAAAACTGCAGCCAGTAAGAATAAATAAGTAACCGAATCCAAGCTCCTGAGAAAAGTTAACCAGGACTCAGAAAATTCAACAGAGGAACGGACAGAACCCCCGGTTGCCAGCAGGCCATCCAAGGGGGAGAGAGCAAGCGACATGAAGAGGAGCATCATCATTGTCCTGGCTAACAACATCCTTCCAGCAACAGGCGACAAGCACCAGATACGCTCGCTAGTAATTTCCAAAATTTTCCAGCAATGCAGCCGAATTGTTCCATTTTGAGACTTTCTCAATAACCACATTTTTAACATAATATTGAAGGGAGGATGTGCATCGAAAATCATGCCCAAATCTTCTAAAATTCCTTTCTCTCCAAGAATGATAAATGATACAACAGATTGATAACATATTGAAATCCATTTTGAGGGGGGAAAGAAGATTCTCAGATTCCAGCCATTGAAAAAGTTGCATAATAGTGGGTCTAAACAGAAAATTTCTTATTGCAGGAATAATGGCATTCAAAACCAAAAAAGTGTATTGACACTCAAAGAAAAGGTGATTGACACTTTCAGGGGCCGAAAAGCAGAAAGAACAAGTCTCTTGCACATGAATATTCCTTAATCTTAAAGCATCCTGCGTTTTCAAACCTCCCACAAGAGCGAGCCAAACATAAACTGAGTTTTTAAGGATGTTCTTTTTGTGCCAAACAAATTTATACCAACAACAATCAGACAGGTTGCTGTAGTATTCATCAAGAAAGTCTCTGAATTTAGCCTTTTTACAATCTTTCCAGAACAAACAGGCAAAAGAAGAGTCATTTATCTCAAAACTGCAGACGGCAGTTTTTAAAGCCATAGAAATGTTATCAGGCAAAAACCAACAGGAGCCAGAAATATAATTCCTCAGTAGCGGCATAGAAAAACAATCCAAAGATGCATCTCCCACAAATTCCATAAGAGTCCGGTTATTGCACCAATGATCCCAAAGCAAGGAAATGGGAGCATTAGGTGTAATAACAAATCTAAAATGAGGTTTCACAACAGCAGCCGTTTTACAAACAGCAATCCAAAATTTGCTAGCTTTAGGTGTATACGAGCGCCAAGGAGAGACATAATGCTCAGTTAACCAAGAAGACAATGGTGAAGGGCAGTTATACATGCGGTAAATAACCGAGCAGTTAAAAGAAAAGATAAGAGAGCTAAGAGATGGAATACCCAAGCCCCCTTTTTGATTAGGCATGCAAACCTTGTCCCAAGAAACCATGTGCAATTTTTTCATATTAGCAATGTCTCCAAAAAACAGAAATTTCAAACAAGTTTTTTTAAAAAACTTAAAAACAGTTTTTGGTAAAATGGAACCTCTGATCCAGTAGGCTATAGTATTTTGGATAGTAAACTTTAAATACTGCAATCTCCCAGCCAAGGACAAAAGGTCAGCCTTCCAACCAGTGAATTTTTTAAGCAGGTTATCCATCAAAGGCAAAAAATCAACCACCTTTAATCTGTTGAAGGAAATAGGAATTCCTAGATATGTGATCTTAGAGGTGACATTAAAGATAGAAAGTGTTTGGCACAGCAAATCCTGGTTTCTTTGATTCTTAGAGAACATAACAGAGCTCTTATCAAAGTTAATATTTAAACCCGAAGCATTGGCAAAATCTTTAAGAATTGTAGAAAGAGTCCTACAATTATCAACAGTAGCTTCTCCAAAAATAAGAACATCATCCGCATACAAGAGATGGGAAAGATGAAAATCACCATCTTTAAAACCTTTGAAACCTCTTTCCTCCATAAGATTAGAGAAGGCATCCATCACTAAACAAAAGAGATAGGGACTAAGAGGGCAGCCTTGCCTAAGCCCCGTAGAAGAAGGGAAAAAACCTTCCAAAGCAACATCAATGACCACAGAGAAATTAACATTGGAAATACAAGCTTTTATCCACTTAATAAAAGGTTTAGGGAAACCTTTTTGATTCATATGAGCAAGCAGGAAATCCCTAGAAACAGAATTAAAAGCTTTTTTGATATCAATCTTGGCACAAAATATGTTACCAACCCCTCTCTTGTTAACCAAGGAAAGAATATCATTAGCAAGAAGAATGCTATCAGTAGATATTCTATTTCTAACAAAACCAGCTTGAGTATCTTTGACAATGATAGGCATGATCAGATTCATCCTGTTTGCAATAATTTTAGCAATAATTTTGTAAAAGGTATTGCATAAAGAGATTGGCATGTATTCTGAAATAGAAGTGGCATTGCGATATTTGGGAATGATGGCAAGAGCAGTAGCTTTGATATCAGTAGGGAGATAACCTTTGAGAAAGAAAAATCTGATAGCATTACTAACAAGAGGTCCAATGATATGCCAGCCACTTTTGTAGAAGTGGTAATTAAAACCATCCGGACCAGGAGAGGATTTAGAAGAGCCTTTGAAAACAGCAGCCTTTATCTCATCATCTAAAATAGGACCAGTGAGCAAATTAGCATAATAATTTGGAATAGAGGTTCCAATGGGAAAGAGATCCACATTAACACAGGAGGGAGGGAGAGGTTTAAACAGCCCATGGAAATGAGAGATAATGTTTTGGAGCACCTCTCCCCTCTCCGAATTAGGATTGCAGGAGAATAAATTGACAACAGATTTAGTGCTACTCCTCCTACTCCTGATTTTGCCATAAAGAAATTTAAGATCATCCTCACCATAATGAAGCCAGTTAAGTTTAGCTCTTTGAATAATCCAACTTGCCTTCATAGCCGAAACCTCAGAAATTTGAGAATTAATGTGCTTGAGAGAAGCCACCAAAGAAGCATCAGAGTGATTAACCTGAAGTAGATCTAAAAGATTCTGTTGTTTAATCTGAAGGGAATCAAGCTGTGCATATATAGAGGTAGCATTAGCCCAGTCATGATTTTTGATGGAACCTTTGATATGTTTAAGAACATTACATAAATGAGATATGGGGTTTCCTACTAAAGGCAAATAAAAGGCATTTAAAAGAAAAACCCAATATCTATCATGCTTAGTCCAGAAGTTCTTGAACATGAAACGGTGATGAGATGTAAAAGAGCCCCCCGGATGCAGTATAATCGGGGAATGGTCCGAACAGGACGGACTCTAAAAAGAACAAAAAAGAACTAGGAGACTTCTTCATCCATTCCTCATTAACAAGAGCCCGATCAAATTTAATAAAAATAGGATTAACAGCTTGCTGATTAAACCAAGTAAAGAAGTTACCAACAGAGTGAAGATCCACCAGACAATTTGAGAAGATCATACTGTTAAGATCAAGCAAGTTGGACTGATGAAGAGCCGAGCCTCCAGATTTCTCATTAGCATACCGACAACAATTAAAGTCCCCCAAAATCGCCCATGGAGTATCACATGGAGGAGCAACCTGTATTTGAGAAGATCATACTGTTAAGATCAAGCAAGTTGGACTGATGAAGAGCCGAGCCTCCAGATTTCTCATTGGCATACCGACAACAATTAAAGTCCCCCAAAACCGCCCATGGAGTATCACATGGAGACACAACCATACTAATAGAGGACCAAAGTTCCTTCCTATCCGTGGCATTGTTAGCAGCATAGACAAAAGTGATCTGAAATGAAGAATGGGAGCCGGCAGTAATAATCCCATTGATCATCTGAGGGGTGACAAGAGTGGGAGAGAAATTGATCTTTTCAGAATTCCATTTAATCCAAATCCTCCCAGAGGATGATAGATTAAAATTATTGTGACTCGCTTCATTAGAGAAAAGAGAGTGAGAAGCATCAAAAAAAGGATCCAGTAGGGAAGATCCGGGAATACGGGTTTCAAGAAGACAGAGTAGGTCCAGCTTGAAAGAAGAAATAAGCCGCTTGCAGCTTAGAACTTTTTCAGACTTATTAAAACCTCTAACATTCCAAACTCCCATGTTAGGAAGAAACATTAGAAAGATGATTGATTTTGGGATTTTTTACTCTGCTTTCCCTTAGCAGATTTTTTGGATGACTCAACAAATTGTTGCTTCTTGTTTTTCCCCGGCTGTTTCAGAGAATTACCAACTTTGTCGTGGCTGTTGTCCAAAACATCCTGATGATCAGCATCAGATTGAGAATTCAACACTTCAAATTTGTTAGGGGAAGTGATGGCTGTGGTCGAAGCATGCGACTTGTTCAGCATAGAAGATGAAGAATCAGAGATTTCTTTAGTGGGGATATTAAGATTAGGAATACTAGCAACAGCAGTAACATTCTGTGGTTCCACATTACTAGGGCTGGTCTGCATGGGAGGAGTATTTGCCGGATTTTCAATAACCAACTGTTTAGGTTGCGTAGAGACCTTGCTAGGAGAAGGGGGAGGGGAATGAGTTTGATAATGTAGTGGCTGCCCAATGCTATTGACGTGAGTATTAGTGGGTGGAAGTGAAGAAGGCCCAGCCAAAGAGGAGATAGGCACATCTTTAGGTCTTGAGTCCGACCGGGGAGGTCTGTTGGAGGTGGGAGGCTTAGAAGGGAAACGGTTGGTAGGTTTCTTACTTTGACTTCTACCACGATTGTTTGAGAAAGAATTTCCTTGTAAATTCTCAGCAAGTTTTGGATTCAGGGGACAAGAGGAGGAGTAATGAACAAGTGACTTACAGTGTTCACAGGGAACAGGCCTCCATTCATATTGCACCTTCAATGCCACCACATCACCATC